GAAACTACAGAGCCACAAGAGACAGAAACAATAGCAGAAATGGCATAAAAAGCATTAAAAAATTTGTTTATTCTTCTCAGTCATCAGCCTTTTTCCTTGAACATTCTTCTGTAGTACAATATCAAAGACAAAATATTTTGCCTTAACCACGTTTTTGCAGATGTCTTGATAGCTGAGAGTATAGGATCTAAAAATTGCAGAATTTTTAATACATCTATATAGCTAATATTAAAACAAATACAGAGCAGGTAGATAGTGCTAGAAATTTCATCAGATTTAGTCTCCAAAGCCTGAACTTCCAAATTCCCCTAATTTTAATGAATCTTCATGCAGATGAGTAGGCAATCATATGATTTGCACCTAAACATAGCAACACAGGCGCCTGGTGAGCCATTAAGGGAATTGACTGTGGGCAGTTAGAGAGAGGCAAAGCCCAGGTTTGGACGTAGCAGCTTTTGGCTCTTGGTTCATCCCTCAGTTCAATAGGTCCCACTACCTCAGCTTTGCAACTGTGAGTAAGATTTCACAGTGTGTGCTTAGGAGAGACTTACTAAGTAGCGTGTCCTTTTCCTAGTTAAACACTTTAGAGCTTTCTCATCTATGACTTTGCTAACCCCTCATTGGTGTACCTCCAGTAATGGTGCTTCAAGCTTTACCTTCCTTAGCTTTGGGCCCTTCGGTTCAGTCTAATTTTTTGCTCTTACTGGGCTTTACTTTTTCTCTCAAAATCAAGCTTGAGAACTTTTGGTGGTTTAATAAAGGAGTCCAGGGAACTTGTTCTGGCAAAGGAGACTGTCCAAGCCAGAAACTGAGGAGAGAGGTTTTAAAATACAGCCTCTAAAAAAATTTTAAAAGTTCACATGGTTAAATTCCACATCTTCTCAAGCAGACACTCCAGAACAAAGAAGTATTGCTGAATTTGACTGTGGTATGTGTCCCACCTCAGTAATCAATTTTGTCTCTATATTAAATCTGTGTCACTGACTTTCTAAAAATGCAGGTGCTGTGCTGTCACTTCAGGAGAGGTTCTGCTGCTCTGTTCAAAGGGAGCAGCAATAAGATTTAATGTTGTCTTTCAATACTACAGTCACCTCCGGCTGCACTTCAGCCTCTTCCACTGGGCAAGAGGGATAGGAGAGGCAGTGGTTTGCAACTGGTCTATCTGCACTTCCAAGCTGGTGAGCAACAGGAACATGCAACTAGCAGGTGTTTAGAAAGCCCCAGATATTAACTGTTACAGAGAGTCACCACCAATTTGCCCCAGAGTAAGTGATGTTGAGTTACTGCCATTGCCACACTTCAGCAGAGGGGAAAACTCCAGCAACAGGCCATTGCTGACAGAAGAAGAAATTCAAGTACCTGGACCTTGGGAAGAGGCACAACCCCGAGCTCTGTCATAGAATCATAGAATCGCTTTGGTTGGAAAAGACCTTTAAGATCATCGAGTCCAACCTTTAACCTAACCCTGCCATCCCACCACTAAACCATGTCCCTAAGCACCTCATCTATCCTTCTTTTAAATACCTCCAAGGATGGGGACTCTACCATCTCCCTGGGCAGCCCATTCCAGAGCCTGACAACCCTTTCAGTGAAGAAGTTTTTCCTAATATCTAACCTAAACCTGCCCTGGCGTAGCTTCAAACCATTCCCCCTCGTCCTATCATCTGTTACCAGGGAGAAGAGGCCGACCCCCACCTCACTACAGCCTCCTTTCAGGTAGTTGTAGAGGGCGATCAGGTCTCCCCTCAGCCTCCTCTTCTCCAGACTAAACAACCCCAGTTCCCTCAGCCGTTCCTCGTATGACTTGTGCTCCAGACCCCTCACCAGCTTGGTTGCTCTCCTCTGGACATGCTCCAGCAATGCAACATCCTTCTTGTAGTGAGGGGCCCAAAACTGAACACAGTATTCGAGGTGCGGCCTCACCAGCACCGAGTACAGGGGCACGATGACTTCCCTTGTCCTGCTGGTCACACTATTCCTGATACAGGCCAGGATGCCATTGGCCTTCTTGGCCACCTGGGCACACTGCTGGCTCATATTCAGCCGGCTGTCAACCAGTACCCCCAGGTCTTTTTCCGCCAGGCAGCTTTCCAGCCACTCTTCCCCAAGCCTGTAGCGCTGCATGGGGTTGTTGTGACCAAAGTGCAGGACCCGGCACTTGGCCTTATTGAACCTCATGCAGTTGGCCTTGTCTCATCGATCCAGCCTGTCCAGGTCTCTCTGCAGAGCCCTCCTCCCCTCAAGCAGATCAACACTACCACCCAGTTTGGTGTCGTCTGCAAATTTGCTGAGGGCACACTCAATCCCCTCATCCAGGTCATTGATAAAGATATTAAACAAGACTGGCCCTAGAACTGAGCCCTGGGGGACACCACTTGTGACTGGCCACCAACTGGATTTAGTTCCATTCACCACCACTCTCTGGGCTCGGCCACCCAGCCAGTTTTTAACCCAGCGAAGAGTATATCCATCTAGGCCATGAGCCGCCAGCTTCTCCAGGAGAATGCTATGGGAGACTGTGTCGAAGGCTTTGCTGAAGTCCAGGTATACAACATCCACAGCCTTTCCCTCATCTACCATGCGGGTCACCTGGTCGTAGAAGGAAATCAGGTTGGTTAGGCAAGACCTTCCCTTCATGAACCCATGCTGACTGGGCCTGATCCCCTGATTGTCCTCCATGTGCCTCGTGAGCACACTCAAGATGAACCTCTCCATAACCTTCCCCGGTACTGAGGTCAGGCTGACTGGTCTGTAGTTCCCCGGATCCTCCTTCCGGCCCTTCTACTGTCCTACTGTTCCATCCTTTGCTTGTCCATGGGATGACCAAACTTGATAAAAATCATAGCCGTGTTGTGGTGTCTATCTTAATCCCAGAGAAGGAAGACAGGGTAGCACCAGCTCTTACTTATACCTCTTCCTATTGGATATTTGCAAATCTTTCCCACCGTTTGGATACCACCCTGAAGGGCAGGAGGTTTGCCTTAGTCCCTATTCTGCAACATGAATCTCTCACACAGGATGAAATGACAAATAATTTTGGCAAGAATGGGACTTGAGGTTTATCCAGATTCTGTTGCAAAAAGAAGCACATGATAAGAAATGTGGCTTCCTATTGCTGCTACTACGGAACAGAGCATTAATAATTTCTTCTGACCAGTGACATCACTTCCAGAGAAGCAATGAGGGAAGAAGTAAACATCAAAAATGTGAAATAAAAATCCGTGCATTGGCAGATCTTAGTTCCTCATTTTCTCTTTTCATTTAAACAATGTAGACACATTTCTAAACAAAATATCAATGATCAAAGTTGTGAATCATTGAGGGATTTACAGAAGTTGCCTTCTTATCTGTCTTTAGTCTTAAGTGACGTTGAAGGCACAGCAAGAAGTGGAAAGAAGTCTTCCAAACTCAGAACAAAATGGCCATGTCCTACAGATATATACATAATATATAATAAAGGGTTGGATCCAGCTAATAATGTAACACTAAGCTACAGTATTCCTCTTCAGGTACAGCCCTTTTAAAATATCTGAGAATGGTAATAAATGCTGTGCTTACCATCATTTGAAGGAACAAGGTTATGAAGAAATAAAACTAGTTATTTTCATCCCCAAATGTGTAACATAACTGTTACATGAATATTGAATATTACTAATATGTGAATGTGAAAATTACATGAAACAAAACAAGTTCTGGATTATGAAACTATTGGATCTGGTCCTCCAACAGCTTGCATCAGTTTGAAGCTGGTGTAGGATCTTCTGCCTGCCAAAAACAGGCATTGCAGAATTGGAAGCATTATTTTTATGGTCATGGTAAATATATATATACAATTTTTTTCTTCTTACAATAATTTTTAAGGAATTCTATGTCCATAACATTTCTCTTTTTTCTAGATAAACAACCCTTTTTTTTTCATGTGTGTTGATGTACACAGATACTCAGGAAAAAAAGCCTTGGTGCTGTCATCATTGCCCCTTTTTAACTTCCCCAGCAAGGTCATCCAGACTGGTTGTGCAACGCCCTCATTGGGGAGTATTTTAATATTTTACATTAGGTGTATTGCTTTTCCAGCTTATCCCTTATTAGCAAAGGAAACCGTGGACATCACGCTGTGATGGCCATAGCAGAATGAATCAGGGCAACATCAGAACAGACAGTCTCTACAAGGTTGCTCAGCCCTCATGGGCCAGCCCTTGCTCTACCTTCTTTCAGATGTCAAAGTAGAAATGGGTGGTCTCCTGAGAATCTGGAGAGAAGAATGCCCAGGGAGGGTATAAGAAAGGCTGTTTTCCCCACTATGTTATTGGTTCTCCTTCCCTGAAGGTGAGGCTCATGAGGAGGCATGCCCAGCTGCCCCCATGCTCTTCTGTTTGTAGCTTTTTTGGAAGAGGAGCGTGGAAGGGAGAGGAGGGGGATTGGTGACAGCAGGGATCCGGAGGGAAAAAGGCAGTTCAGAACTGCTCTGTGAAAAAAAAATAAATGCACCTGTTCTCTGAGAGCCAAAAAGGTGGGCGTGGCTGGGAACACAGCATGCTTTTTGTTTCTCCTCAGCCCTCCTCACTCACTGGCAGCAACCAAACATGTCGAGCCCCAGCATTTCAGGTCTCACAGGCAGGGTCCTACATTGGGATTCTGCTTGCAAAGATCTCAGGTGTTGCTCTGAGAAATTACATTGACAACTTTTTCCCCAGTCTTCTGTGAAAAAGTGCAGCAAAGGTTGCGAATTCAGTTGCTAAATAAAATCATCCCTCAAAAGCATCCCTCAGTAGGGATTTTGCCTTAACTCTCTTTAAGAATTTAAAAAGAAGAATCTTGGTTAAAATGTCACTTGAGAAGCCAACAGACCTGTCTCCAATCTGATGCACTGGAATATCTCCCCCTCACCCTGTGGTTTTCCTTCAATCATTTTTTTTTTTTCTTTTATTTAAGCTATCATCCTGAAAACCACCCTATGCCACCTGTATTTTTCCTCATTATTTCCCCTCTTGCCTTCCCAGGACAAGAAAAAGTCTTTCTTTTGGCTTTTTCCCACTTTATGCTTCAGAAACCCCAACACAAATACCCCGGGTTCTACCTATGGAGCATCGGCACAACAAAGGAAAACAGTCACCTTCTGCCGCAGCACAGAAGATGCAAGAAGGACCAGCAGCAAAGGGGTTAAGGGGAGCCCCATAGCAAAGATATGCAATGCCTTGAAATTTTAAGCACTAAAATTTGTGAATACATAAAAGAATAAATCTTTGCAGTTCCAGATATTTCTGGTTGACATAAAACACTTGGAGCCAGTTATGTAGGGGGAGTTGCTGTGAACACTGGAATCGGTGATGCCTGGTTCCCTATGGATTTGTGCTCTCTCTTTCTGCACACTTTAATCCCACTTCACTAAGCCCAGCCATCCCTCCAGACCTTACACACATCTCTCCCATGCCCCCATTCCTTCTACCCTCTTCTCCCCTCGATATTTTCCCAGTACCTGCAAAGGAGGCAGCAGGCATTGAAGCTCTGCACCGGGCTGCCAGGCCAGCCAGGAGAGAGCGTGGGAGCTCAGACCATGGGCTACATCTCTCACCTTGGTCCTGCTACCAAATTTCATGAAACTCAGATGTTTGCTGCTCCATCAACTTCAGCTAGAATTAGCCAGCTGGTTCAAAAGGTACTCAGGGCAGGTGGCAAGACAGATTGACACACGCTGCAATCACGTTTCCGTAGGCAACCAGGCTAATTTGAGAGTGATACTACTCTTTATTTTTAATAATATATTTTTTTAAGCTCCATAGGTACGGTTTCCAGGCATGGTTTTTACCTCCCTGTAAGTGTAAATGTAAGATCCACCTCTTTTTTTTCTCCCCCACGTTTGTAAAGGTACCTCTTTGAAAAATACTTGGCTGCAGGGGCTCCAATGGTTTCCACCAGCGCCATGCAGACTGCTTCTGGGTGTTTTACAGAGAGCTAGTCTGGTACTCACAACTTGCCGACTTACTATACTCCACATATTGGCTTCAGGTGACTTTAAAAAAAGAAAAAAAAAATCCAAATTTTGCCACAGCTGTAGCTGGCTGCGGTTTCCTCTACTGGGTGGCTGCTGGGAGATGTGTCTGTGGGTGAGCTGAGCACCTCACCGACAACATCTGAGCCCTGCTCATTTGAAACTGTGAGGTGGGTGACTCCGGCCTCTCCAGAAAGCAGCTGGTGTTTTTGTATGGGATGGAGGAAAAAGAGGTTTCACTATAGCTGTTCTTCATGCTCTTGAGTTAACATGTGGCTCCCAGTCTTCTCCTCCCTTTTCAGATGGACTAAAGGGAGGAGAGCAATTGCTGCTGTCTTTAGATCCTGGGAATAGCAGCTCTGGAAGTGGCAAAGTGCCCTTATCTCTGCCTACAGAGGATAAAACAGAGGGAATCTCTGACCTTGTCCTCTTCTGAGATCCCTGAGAAACTGCCCATTTTTACCTCCATCCCTTAAAATGAAGGCCCTGGGCAGTGGGCAAGGGGAATTTAGGTCCCTGAATGAGGAGCACAGAATGTGTCCTTGCTGCAATGGCAAGAAGGGCCTCCAGACTGAGTCTGGTCTGAGTGGGTCTGGTCTGTGTACTTGAGCAGACACTGTATCATTCAGGACAATCCGTTTTCAACCGGTTTGCAACATCTAGTTCCCCTCACTGAGCTCGGAGCTATGTGTGCTCAGCAATACTAAAAAATTATCTCACAAAAACACACTTCAGGCGGCCTCCTCTAGTTTGGTTTGGTTTAAATCTCCAAGCTGGCAACTTCTAAAACATGTTCCCTGTTTTTTCTGACTGCTCCAATTCCAAGAGAGATTGAGTTTCCTTCGCTTCTTTAATGAGACTGTTCCCAGTGAGTTACTGTCTTGGTTGCACAGAGGGATAAATGCCTGATTTTCTCATTTGAAAAAGCCCCCCCCTCCCCCCCCCAAAATGTGTCTGCTCAGCCTCAGCCATTTGGCCTGGGAGGTTTCCACATCATATGTCAAGCTGGTTTTTCTTCTCTGACTGCAGAAAACTGCTCAGATGAGGTTGCGGGGAAGTACAAAGTTTTGACAGCACATAGAAGATTCCAGCTAATTGAGTTCATTGGGAATTTTTCTACACCGCATTTTTTCTGATGAAAAATGCCAACTCCTTGTGGAGGAGGGTCAGCTCCAACAAATGACTCACTTTAATGGAGACAGCCTGAAGTAGCCCGAGGTAGAAGTGGCCAGGGTCAGGCTGATGCCCAATGGGGTGATACTGTACCCCACGACCCTCTCCCTTATAGGGCTTAAAAATTCTATGTCTGAGGTCTCATCATTGCCCTGCTGACAGCAAACAATTGTGAAAATCCATTAATGTCTCATGCTCTTCCCATGACTGACCCATCCATGAAGTCGTCACCTGCTCCTTGCTGACAGTCGCTGTGCTGGCTCGTGCTTCAGTTTTTAAGCTTTGGTCCAGTCTGGGTGATTAACTGTGTTGGGGTCACTGGGGTTCCCCAGTTCACATTTTTAGCTTGGGAAAGGTTTTCACATTGCTGCAGGAGTCCGAAGAAATTAGGGAAAAGAGTCAACACGAAAAGAGCTTTGAAGGCGCAAAGTTAAGCATTTGGAAGTTAGGGAATGCCAAACGGAGGGTCGCCAGTACAACCCCAGCTGTACGCTTACATGATGGTGCTGGTTTTAGTTACAGGATCCCATTTCTTTCCTGTGGGGCTCCTTCCTCGCTCAATGCACTGGAGAAACTTTGCTCAGCTGAAGAAGCATGGTTATATAGTTAAACATGCTGTTGTCCACGGTTTGGATTCAAGTGGTTTAAAAACAAGAAGAAATTCCAAATTTTGCCTTCCCCTGAATGCCACAGCTATAGCTGACTACAGTTTCTACTATTTCCACTTCTTGACGACTGTTAAGTCCTGGCTGTGGGTGAGTGGGTGGCTGTGCGTGAGCAGCTTTGCTTTGCTATTTATGGAAGTGAAAGGCATGTGATGGGAAAAAATAAAAAAGTCTACTGCAATGATGAAACTGGTTGAAAGTTGCACAATGGGCTGGATTACATCCCTGCCCAGAGCCCTCATTTCATGTTGGCAAGTAGCTCAAACATGTTCAGGGGCTAATGAGGCTACTTCTGCTACTGAGTGCACAAATTAGATTCTGCAGAAGTATTGAGTAAATGCAGGTGAAACTAATGGGATCTGTTATCTGAATATAGAAAATAATATACGCTATTAAATGTTATTAAAAAAAATGCAAGCTGTGACTCCAATTAGGTGCCAAAAAGGAGAAAGAATATAACGAGTCAGCCTCTTGTCAGTGAAATGGGAATAATACCAGCCTTTTGATGAAAATTGTTGTGCGGCATCCAGACTGCACAGCTTCCCAATTCCCCGGCGAGCCAGGGGGTGAGGGAGGGACATTAACATTCAGGATTGAGAAGAGAGTTTGAGAGGGAAGTGAACTGGCTTGGAGAAAAATAGTCTGCGCTCATGTAAACACAGTCAGCATCATAAGACTTCAAGGGTCAGAGCTCAGCTTGAATTAAGACAGATCTCTCTTCTTTAATATTTAGCGTTGGGAGGATGAAAGAAGTATTGCCCTAGAAAAATCAGTTTTAAAATTCTGCTGGATGCTGGGGTTTTACTTTAGAAGTAAATAGGGACGTTCTTTTCTTTTCTTTGCACTTCAAAGATTTACATGCATGACAGTGAGTAATCAGCTGTTTGCTGAGTGCAAGTCAGCGTGATGGAAAAATAGCCACCAGTTTGTTCCATAAAGTCATGGGAAGAAACAAATAAAACAAATTACACGGGGAGGGAGCGTTTGCTTTTTTTAAGAGCACAATGTGGCTGAATTGAGCGTTTCTTACCACTAAGGGTAAGGCAGCAGTCTGCCAGCTTTGTGGTTGTTAGAAGCAAAATTTTTAGTCACAATATTGTAATAGAAAGAAAGGAAAATGCATCAGACAGCTTTTTCAGAAAATGCGTCGGGGGCTTTCTCCCTAGACCACGCTCACTCCCTCGGTTGTCACTTGCTTTCCGTCACCCAGAAGCAAGTATCTGCTCATCTCACAGATATCCTGAGGATTACTATTAATATTTTTTCTTATTATTAATATCTGTTTTCTACAAAAGCACTGACGTGTACTAGGTACTTTACAGACAAATAAGGAAGCGAGTTACTTTTCCTAGAAACTTGCAGTCGACAGGGGTTTGCCTGAAGTAGCGTGAAATGAATCTCTCTGGGCTGTACTTATTTATCTATTACTTGTAATGATTTATCTTGCATGCCTGGCCGTGACAGCTCTTGTTTTACAAAAACTAGACGCATGGTAGGTGATCCACAGCAGAATCTAAGCATGACCTGCAGCTGGAATGATATTTTAAGGAAAAAAAAAAAAAAAGATATCACAGAAGAGATTCACAGATCAATTTTGCCTGGTTCTTTTTCTTCCAGTTCACCGTCCCAAATCTAGCCATGTCAGAAACTCAGCCGAGTAGATGTTTGAGTAGCCTGCCAATTTTGTATTGTAGAAGGAAATGGGAGAAGCGAAGTTCCCGGTGCTGATGGAGAACCACTGGGGAGCAGTGAATTGCAGGGAGCTCAGCACAGATGAGTCCTGTCCCCACCAAGGAGGCTGGCGGATACAACCCGTGCCGTGCAGAGCCTCCAGTGGGTGCTCCAGGTTTGATCTTAAACAATTGGCATGGAAGCGCCTTCACCCTCAAGGTGGTAAAGCAAGGAAGTCTCTTGCAAAGTCTACATGAGAGAAAAAAAATTCACATCCTCATTGGCATTTTAAATGAGGTGAGGCACTACTCTTCCCTGATGGCTGAGAAGGGATGCCAGGCTCTAATAAATTCTGCTAATTGCTGGTATCCTTTGGTAGACAGCTCAGGTTCTTATTTACCGAACACACTTGCTGACAGTAAATGTACACAGCTGCTCAAGATAGAAAGCTATTTTAATAGTATACTTCCTAGCACAATCTTTTTTTCAACAATAACATTTGAAAGATACACAGGAAGAAGAACAGGTGGCTTAGAGTAAAAGCTTTTCTACTTTGATTTGGCTATGGACTTATATACATAGAAAAAAAAATGTGTTCAGACTTTCTAACTGCTGTACTTTTTCCCTATATATCCACTACTATAAAATGCAGTCATGGGGGACTGTATATGCAAAGTTGTAGTTCCGAAAGTCTAAATATTTGCATATCTCTGATGAAACATCCTCACAGTTACATTTTACCTGTACACAATTTAGCACAATTACGTCTGGTTTAGAGACAGGCTTTGGGTACGTGAGGGTGGTGTTTACTGAGCATGGCTCCACTTGGCATGCCGACTCTTTCTTTTGCCTGTAATACATTTTTCAAATATGGCCAACTAATTAAATTTAGATATAGAGATGCTTCTATATTGGTATGCACATTATATGCATATATATATATATAGTATGTGCATAGCATATCAAAAGATACATACATATGCAGATGTACTAAAGACAAACAGTGTAATGTTATATTACGTGAGTATAATAGATTCATAAATATGAAATACTCCCCCTGTTCTTTGGTTTCCGTGCAGATTTATGGTCTATCAAATGGATTAAAGCCTGTGGCTGCTGCATAGTGAAGTAGGCAGCTGCTCAATATTTATTTTTATCTTCCTTGCTGAAAAAGTAGACTCACTGCTCATTAAATTAGTCCTGGTTCTTCCAGTAAGCGCAGTCTAACTCCTTCGGCAGGCATCCAGGTTAGAGATACTTGGAAGTTTTCCAGCAACACCTAGGTTTTTTTCTTTTTTATTTTTCACAAAATGTACATTTGAGCCTGAAATGTTTCATTAAAAAGAAAAAAAAATATTTTACTGAATCTGAGTGACCATATGTATTCACACATCGCACCTCCACGCTCAGCACTCACACCTCAGCACTTCCTTGGATTTCTTTGGGCATCCTCAGCCTTGGTGTAATCTGCCTGATAGATTGGCTAATTATGTTGGAAGTTAATGATTCCCGGGCCTTAGGCAGTCTGCCATTAAGCTGAGAACCCGAAACACAGTCCCCTGGCTGGCTGGCAGATCTTCCCCAGACACAGCAGACCTGAAACACTGTCATTTTTGCCAGAAAGCTCCTTTCACCAAATGCCCACCATTTCCTCTGGGGTTTAAACTTTGGAAAAAAGACAAGAAATTTTACAGGGAGCAAACCCCTTGCTCTTCAGCCAAGTCTAGTCCACTCACGATCTTTGGTAAATCATCATGTTAATCCACAACACCTTTATCTTAATGTTTGCCTCTTTCCTATTATGTCCATGGAATGAGAGACTCTATGAATACATACATATATATGTGCGCACACACACACACACACATATATATATACACACACACAAAATTAGACAAAATATGTTGTCTGTAAGTAGGTAGATTCATGTTGTGCCCAGAAGGGCAGTGCTGGAATTCTTCAGATGGTTCTTTGGTATTTCTTGGCTCCTAAAGGTTTTAGCTGCAGTCTATTTATAAACTTAGGAAGTTATTTTAAAGATGTATTTTAATGGAAAGTCTACGAGAGGCTCATTTTGAGCTAAAATACTTGTAATTTTTCCGTAGATGTTCTAACAATATTTTAGTTGTGTATGTGTTGTGGACTGCAGACTTCTGCAATAGCAAGGGTTGGTTCTCAGGCAGGTGAAAGTTTGTTAGGAATTACAAAATGGACTATCAGGTTGTAAAACAATCTACATCCCATGATAATATTCAAGGAGAGCTCTAGATTTTTGTAAACACTGAATGAATTGTCTGGCCTTTGTTGTACACATTTCTGTCTTGACCTTGTGCCGATTTATTCTCCGAAAGAATAAGGGATCTGGTTATTGTGGGCAAAACAGGGACAACAAGAGAAAAACCTGTGAATTGGAAGGGGGTTTCTGCTTTCCTCCTCCTCTTCATTTGCCTGTTAATCACTGATTCAGCACTTAACCAAAGGAGAGGCAGGAGCTTTACTACCTGGGGTATTATATATTGTGCACTTTTTAAAAAAATCTGGTAATCTACTGTTGGGTACTTGCTCCAGTATTTGCAAATTCTTCTGCACAAGCTTAAAAATTAATGTCTTTGTCTGTTGTGGTTATGTTCCATTTCATATTTTTTCTTGTGTGAAAAAAAGTCCTTGTTATGAAGGTGGGGTAGCTTTCTAGACTGTAAGCTCTTCAGGGCAGGGAATGGTCTCTTACTCCGTGTTTGTACAGCATCGCTGTTGGCTTGACCTGGTTGAAGGCTCAAGCTCCTGTGCACTATTGCAATGCAAATAATAAACGCTACTGAAAAATGAAGAGTCGGTTCGGTCAATTGGAGTTGCACCCAAGTATGAAATACGGGAAAATGAGGTGTCAAAGTCAATGCTCTCCATTATGGGTTGTTTAGCACACAGTAACAATTTAAAATAGTAATGAGTTTTATAAATTAGCCGTGCAGCTAGTTGATGTTTTGCAGACTTCAGAAGATTTGCTGATGATAAATATGATGACATTTCCTGTTAACGATAAATAGTGAGACTGTACAGATTTACCAAACAAAGGAAAATTCTTCTTACTCTGTGACCCTGCCATTTAAACAGCCCTTGAATCCGAAAGGGCTACTGCAAATATAAATCACTGTAAACTGCAGAATTGCTAAAGCATACAGCAAAGTAGTTCTGTAAATCTAGAGTGTCCAGTCATTCAGTTCACTACATGAATTACCATATAGTTAACCACAGAGGACATTTCATTTTTTTCTTAAAAAAAAAAAAAGTTTCTCTAGGCAATGAGTTAATGTGTATTAGTGATTCCAGACATCTTAGAGAATAAGAATGAAACTTTACCAATGGAATAGGCCCAGTAAGTATTTTTCTCATTTGATGCTTCATACAGTTATGGGACCAGAGTCATCTCAGCTGAATATGAGCAGAAAATGATGGGAATATGGATAGTATGGAGAGAGCACGTAAAACTGCATTGAAAATAGTGGCCCAAATGTGTTCACTAGGATGGATGGCCCACTTCTAATGTGAGACAGGCAATTACACAAGGGCAGGAAGCAGAAGGTGAAAAATATACAGGGTAAAAAAAATCTGTTGTTATGAGATGGCAGAGATCCCTGCTTAGAGCTGGTGCCAAACTATGGAAGAGTCTCAGCTGAAGATTCACTGAATTCTTCCTTTCAGGTGGAACCTTTTTATCTTTCAAAAATAAGAAATAAAAGTACTGCAGTTGTAAATTGTCTTTGACGTTCTACTTTTGGAGGGGGAGTGCTGTAGACAGGTTGCTCTGGCTGCTCAGGAGGGCTTTCTGATTGCCCAGCTGATGTTTTTCTGATAGGGAAAAATCGGCCACAATTTCCACCATTCTTTTTCACCTGTAGCATAAAATTCCCATGACATTGGTCCGTGTGAAACCAAGGAGCTAATCTCCTTATCCCTGATTGATCTCCAAGGCCCTTCTGATCTCATTTGGTGCTAAGCACCTGCTACAGTTTTTAAGAGGTGATGCCTTCCTGCTATCCCTTTCCTTTGCACATGATGTGCCAAAACCTGGTACCTGGTCCTTATGGGCTGGGTGTAGAGAGCTGGTACCGGGATGGTTCCTAACTCTTCCCCTTATCAGTAAACACATACGTTTTTCACACCACTGCAACCATCACTGGTCAGACTGTCAGTGTAAACAGCTGGGGGAACAGCTGTAATTGCTTTATAGTGGCTCTGTTGTTAGCTGAGAAACACCACATGGTCATTTCCAGGTGTTGGGTTTTTGTCCCCGGGGCTCCCTGGGACAGATGTTCCCCCTCATCTCTGCCCTGCAGAGTCCACACAGCTGCAGCGGTGCAGAGGTGTAGGGCTCTATCTCTCCGACACCTGGTTGATTTGCATCTCATAGGTAGAGGCAGCGATGTGGAAGTCAGCAGCATGGTCATGCTCTGGATACCTTGGAGCTGAGTCTGGGTGATGCGAGGAAGCAACCTGAAAATCTATCAGGGATTACAGCTGCTCCTTCAAGTCTGAGCATTTACCTGGCATTCATTACTGGAGCCTGCAGCTAGGGGTATTGCTACACCCTCCGCTGCTCTTTGGCAGGTACAGGCAGTGGTATCTAGGAAGGGTGCTTTTTTTTTAACCTGCACCTACCTGGGGATTGCAGCAGTTTCCTTTCGATGCATTCGTTGCCACCACAATCTGTCCCATTGCTGCTACCGGCTGCTTGTTCCTAAGAACCAAGCTAGAAACCGGTGTCGGAGCAACAGCCTCTTCAGTGGCTCGTGCGTTGCAGAGCAAGCGGTACACGTGTTGTAAGGCATGTTTTTGCCTCTTAGTTTGCAAACAGATTTAAGATGTTGAGGTTTGACCTGTAAAGCTTGTGGTGAT